TACATGTGGCCCTGTGGGGTCGCGTGGGTGAGCCTCCTTCACTGGCAGTCTAGTGTCTGCACCCCAGCTACAGACTATGCACTTCAGTTACTCCAATGACAGGCTTTTTTCTCTTGTAAAATATAGTTGTATTTAAGTATAATTGCATACTAGAATTAAATACATTTTAGTAACTTTGCAGAGTTATATAATCATCACCACAATGCAGTTCTATAACATTTCTATCACCCAAAAGGCATGTCTCGTGTCCATTTGAAGTCAATCCTGTTTTCATCCCTCAGCCCAGTCAGTCATCATTCCACTTTCTATCTCTACAGATTTGCCTTTTCCAAACATTTCATATAAATGGCATCGTGTGATACAATCATATAATGTGTAGTCTTTTGAGTCTGGTTTCTTTCACTCAGCATAATGTTTCTGAAGTTTATCCATGTGGTACCGTATTCTACTGAATGGATATGACAAATGTTTACCCATTCACCAGTTGGTAGGCACTTGGATTGTTACTTTTTTTTTGAGGAAGGCTGCTATGGACATTTCAAGCATCAAGTCTTTGTACGGACATATGTTTTCCTTTCTCTTGGGTGGATGCCTGGGAGTGGAATTGCTGGGTCATAGGGTAAATTTATGTCTAGTTTTTAAGAACATGCCAAACTGTGGTTTCATCAGTTTTACCTTCCCGTCAATTACGTATGAGAACTCCCAGTTTCTGCACATCCTTGGTTACTGTTGCTTTACAGTGAGCTTTGAAACCAGAAAATATGAGTTTTCCAACTTTGTTGTTTTCTGTCGTTTTGGTTATAGCCGTTCTAATGAATGTAAAGTGGTATCTCGCTGTGGTTTTAATTTGCATTTCCCTAATGAATGCTGAGCATGTTTTCATGTGCTTACTGGTTATTTGTACATCTTCGGTAAAACGTCTGCTCAAATCTGTTGCCTATTTTAAATTGTGTTACTTGTCTTTTTATTAAGAGTTTGTTTTCTATCTGGTTGGAAGCACTTTATCAATACATGATTTGCAAATATTTTTTCCCAACCAGGGACTGGTTTGTCTTTTTACTTTCTTAATGATGCCTTTTTTTTTTTTTTTTTTTTTTGCTGAGGAAGATTCACCCTGAGCTGACATCTGTTGCCAACCTTCCTCTCTTTGTATGTGAGCCACCACCACAGCACGGCCACCGGCAGACAAGTAGTGTAGGTTCATGCCCGGGAACTAAACCCAGGCCACTGAAGCGGAGCGCACCGAACTTAACCACTAGGCCCGCGGGGCTGGCCTTAATGGTGCCTTTTGATGTGCAAAAGTTTTTAATCTTGTTGCAGTCCACATTATCAGTATTTATTTCACATATTGCACCGTTGGTGTCATATCTAAGAAGTCTTCGCCTAACCCAGGGTTATGAAGTGTGTCTGACGTTCCCACGATTAGACGCAGGTGAAGCGTCTTTGGCAGGACTTTCTAGACGTGCTGCTCTTTCCTCATGGCAGCCCTCTGAGTAACACACCACTGCCCCATGTCCCACCATAGATGAGGTTCACTTTGATCTTGATTCAGGCTTCTCCACCATGAAGGTTCTCTTCTCTCCTTTATATTAACAACTATCTTGTGGATGACTACCATGTAAATCCTTGCTCCTCACCAAGCTTTCAATTTGTTCTTTTATTTATATCTGAGTAGTCAGATAATTTCCTGTTTTATTCAAAGAGTTATAATCTGTTGTGGTCTTTATATATTTTGACGCTTGAATTATCCCTGATTTGGCCAGTGGGAGCCCCTTTGAGCTGGCTCTTCTGTCCTTTTGACACATCCTTGTCATTCTTTCAGTACTTCCTTACTTTCTTGCACAAAAAGACGTTCCAAGGTCATCTCGGACATTTCCTGTCCAGCCCTGAAATTGGCCATTTCTCTAAGAAGCCCTAGCTCATTTGAGAGGAAAACAGTATTCACAGCATTTATGGATCCTGGGGTGGCTGCCTCCAGGTCCAAGTTTTTTTTTTTCAGCAAGTCCATTGGGATCTGTTTCTATTGAGGCTTTCAAAACGAAGAGGTTTACAGCTGTTATGCATTTATTTGTAGTGCTGCAGGGGCAATCAAGAGAGCACTGTGATCTCCTGACTTCTGAATGAATTTGCAGGCAAGAGGCTCATTTTGTAAAGGTTCGTTGTGACCCTCTCTGCACAATCCCTTTAACGAGTCCCCATGACTATTAGAGATGCACATCAAGAACTTACGTTCCCTTCGCCAAGCACCTTCTCTGCTGATTTCACGAGGTCAGGCTTGGTGAGCCTCAGAACCACAAAGCACTCCATCCATCAGCCTCGGCTTCACCGCGACCTTTGCAAGTGACACAGGGACAACTGTCCTACAAAGTCAGTAGCTCAGAATAGGCTTCCCTCTCAGTTGGCTAAGTATGTGTAAGGTCACTCTGGCCCTACTGTTGGAATGGCATACTCTGAACTATTTCCCAAGCAAAAAATTTACCCACAATGCTATTGCACTTTGGACTGAGGCAAAAATCATTAAAATATTTCCATTGTTCAATTCTATTTGCTTTCTTAAAAAGTTTGTCTTAATTGGAATGTCAGTGTTCTTCAAAAGTACAGAATTGGATGTTAATTCCATTTAGTAGTATTAAATATTATAAATGCCTTAAAATGTTTTAGAAGAGTGTTTAAAGACATGAGAAAAAGTCTTAGACTATTAAGAAAAAATCATAACTGATTTCACACCATAGCATCTCAGTTTTATAAATATATTAATGTACATTCACAAAATTGTACGTGTACTTAAAGGTTTATGGGTGAAATCACGTGATGTTTGGTGTTTGCTTTAAAATGTCCCATATGAAAAAGGGACAGAAAAATTGGAAGGATAGATGAAACAAAATTGGCAAAATGTTGATCCATGTGAAGCTGGGTGGTGGGCACTGGCGATTATTATAGCATTCTTTATACACTAATATATTTTTGAACATGTTAATAATAAAAAATATGCTACATTAGAAAATAAGCTCTGAAAGACAATATGCCAAAATGCTAACAGTGAATATCTATTGGTATCACTAGGTGATAACGATTATTGATGGCTTTATTTTCTTCTTTATATTATTTTGTATTTTCTAAATTTTCTCCAGTGAACATATATGTATAATCAGGGGAAAAAAGCCAACAAACATCCGTGTGTTCATCCATCATTCATTTCATAAATACTTGCTGACACCTGCTATGAGCCAGGCACAGGGCTGCTGGCTGTGGGCGGGGGACCACAGGGGGGCCCTTGCGGCGCTTGCTCCTGGCCTCCCCTCAGCTGAAGTGCCTCCCCACCTAAATCAGGGAGAAGCCTGAAGGAGGAGAGAGCCTGTAATGTCCACTGATTTAATACAAATTCCAGCCCAGGGATAACTGCTAGGCTTGAAAGGCAAACGAACCAAGCCTAAGGCCTGGGAGTCCTCCCAGCAGACTTCTCAGAATGTTCCCAGCAGGTAGCTTCTCTGTTGGTTTCAGCAAACTTCAGGGAGACTAATTTTTTCAGATGCCATAGAATGCAGGTGTACCTGCTTCACCTGAGAGCCAGGCTGGGACCGATCTGTGATTGTGCTATACCTGGGCGTCCTCTAGAGGCAGCCCTCCATAGTGGTCTAGAAAGAGGGTGTATGATTTACTTATTATTTTCAAGATATTCAAGAGGAAACTCACCTGCAGAGGCACCACAGGACAAACCCAAGTCCACAGTAAGGGTCCAAGCAGATGGCCACTTCTCTTGAGGGGTAGAGCTCACACTGCAGCTTAATAGAACGGCAAAAGGCACTGGTGGCTGCATGAGACATCTGCAAGACAGCAAGGCCGCATTAAATGCACAGAGCCTGACACCCGTCCTAAAGACGTCTGTAACAGAACAAGGCTGTATTAAATGCACAGAGCCTGACACCCATCCTAAAGACATCTGCAAGACAGCACAGCTGCATTAAAAGCACAGAGCACGACACCCATCCTAAAGACATCTGCAAGACAGCACAGC